TGCATTTGTAGGCATATTACTTGGCAAATATGGAACCAAAGAGACCTGAGACTTTTTAAAAGAAAAAAATGGAGAACTAAATATTACTCAATTAGCAGGAATATATGAAATGCAGAGATTTTATTTTGTTTTTGTTTTTAATTTTTTCCAGCTTTATTGAAACATTATAGACACATAACATATATAAGTTTAAGGTGTATGGTATGATGATTTGACACATGTATGTTATACAAAATGCTTACCACAATAACATTAATTAACACCTCTATCCCCTTACAAAATTACCTCTTTTTTGTGTACGGTGATAACATTCAAGATCCCTTAACAACTTTCCAGTGTATGACACCAAATTGTTAATTATGGTCACCATGCTGTAGATTAGATCCCCAGGACTTACTCATTTTATAGCTGGGAGTTTGTAGCCTTTGACCAATATCCCATTTCCCCCACCACCCAGCCCCTGGCAGCCACCATTCTACTTTCTATTTCTATGAATTCAACGTTTTTAGGTTCCAGATATAAGTGAGGGCATACAATGCTTATCTTTCTCTGCAGATCTATCTCACTTAGCATAACGCCCTCAAGGTCCATCCATGTTGTCCCAAAAGGCAACACCGTCTTCTTTCTATGGCTGAATGTTGTTCCATTGTGTGTGTGTGTGTGTGTGTGTGTGTGTAGTGTGTATGGGGTGTGTGTGTACATACACACAGCCTAGTGTCCTGGCATTCACTTGCCCATTGGCTCAGACTGTTTGCTTCCTTACCGTCTACTTCCCTCTAGTTCTCAGAATCTGCCCCACCTTGTAAGGCCAGGTCCTCCTGCCCATCTCCTCCTAGGACCTTCCCTGGCCCTCTCAGCTCTTGGACATGGGGCACATGCATGTGTCTGTGGAAGTGGGCGGCCCTGTCCACTCTCATGCCTCCTAAGCCAGCCTTTCTCAAGACGCGGTCTTCAGACCACCTGCATCACAGTGCTCTAAAATGCTCCTAAGTTTTAGAAGTATTTTAGTGAAAGATTTGAGTTATACAAATAGTACAATGAATATCACATTCTCACTATCTACTTTTAAGAAGTTTACTATTTATCCTTATTTGTTTCAGTTGTTTTTGTTTCTTAAGAATTAAAACATATTACACTTACAAATGAAGCCTGAGTGCTTATCAAAAGACCCATCTCTCTTCTTCCATTTGGAACACACCTGGGACCATCAAAGTCAGCATTCAGATACCCTTCCACTTGCTCTCTTCCGGAATAATGTCAACAAGCATTTCCCATGCCCCTGTCGAGTGCTGGGCACATCTGCTAGTGACAAGTGTACAAGTGTAAAGAAGAAGCCCTGGCCCGTCTGGGCTGCAGTCTGAGCTCAGACCTTAACCTAGTGGGTTTGCTTGGATGTAGAGTTGCCAAATAACAGCAAAGAAAAAGACAAGACAGCTGGTTAAACTTGAATTTCAGACCTCTAACAAATAATTTTCTAGTAGAAGTAGGTCTTAAATGTTGCATGGGACAATAACTTGTACTTGAAAAAAAAATCCTTCCTTGTTTATCTGAAATTTGAATTTAACTACGAGTCCTGTGTTTTATCTGGAAACTACAACTGAGGGAGTATCTTCTGCTCCTGTGAACCTCAGTTTCTTTGTTTGGAAAATGAGAGGACTGGGCTACAAGACCTCAATGGGTCCTTCTGGCTCGGATGTCCCGCAGTCACTTCACAGGCGTCCCACAGCTCTGAGAGCTTTTCTCTCCATCCCCGCCAGGAGGCGCCCTGACCCTCCTCAGTGGCCACGCAGGCCGACTGCTCAGCTAGGAGGAAGCTGGTCCCTCTGGCTCTGGGGAGCCATCTGGAAACCAGGTTATGAGGCTTCCGTGGCTGCAGGTCTTTCCTCCTTCCGAAGACAACCTATTCAGAAGGAGAGAAGGGGAGAGCTCATAGGGTCTCTGAGGATGGGACCATCTCATCCAGCTCCTCCCCTCCCTGAAATTAGAAGGGGGCACAGGGCCCCTAGAGGGATAAGGCACTTTTTCAGACTCACACCCTGTCCTAAAACCAGACTCCTGAATCACAGTCCAGGGTCTTTACTGCCTTAGGGGGCCCTTATTTCTCTGTTTCGTGCTGGATGCATTTAACCCCTGCAGTCCTGTAACCAAAGTGGACACCAGGCAGCTCTGCACAGCCTAACCACTGAGATGCACCTGAGGCCCTTCATAAAGGGAGTGCGGCCCCGAAGCAGGAAAGCTGACAACTGAGAGAGGGCTAGGGATAAGGGACCAGTCTGGGCAGTGGGAAAGAGCAGGCCCTTCACATTTAACTTGTGATGCTGCTGCTGATGGCCTTCCTCTGTGCCAGGCACAACCACCAGTGAGGCAGGGGCCACTGCGATCAGGATCTTCCAAGAGAGAAAACCGGTTCCGCGTTAGGCCATTGGACTAATGGCACTCAGTCCAGTTCTGCCGCAAAGATTGGGAAGGAGGGAGGCTTCTGTCACCAGGGACTTACAGGGCCTCCTAAGGACCCTGCCTGGTGAAGAGGAATCGCCCAAAGTGGGGGTGGATACACACCACTTCTGTGCAGGATATAATTTTAGGAGAGTTGCAGGTTTGGCATGAATCTGCACTGAATTCATCATAATTCAATTCTCTTTTGGACCATCTGACTATCAAAGAGAAATTCTCTTAAATTTCTCCTTTTTAAACAAGAAACAGAGCATCCTTCAAGCACAGGGCACATTCATGATTGTATAGCATCGTCTTTTCATTGTTTTTATATTTCTATTGTATTTATCTTTAAAGTTCATGTCAATTTATGGAAAGTGATACTGATTTTCCACTTAAGGTAATGATAGTTTCCTTTAAGTTTTTTTGTTTTCTTTTTTTTTCTTTTTTGTAAATGATTTGATTTAAAAGGAGGGAAAGCAAAGACAGAGGCGGGTTCTGGGCTCTGAGGACCCTGTTCATTCTGCGGACCAGATTCGCCACATCTGGCATGGGCGTGGCCCTACCCTGCCCTCCCGGGCCCTGGGCTGATCCGTGCTGCATGCCCTTCTTTGATGCTGCCTTTCGCCTTTGAAAACTCTGAGGAGCTCCCTAGAAGGAGGCCTCCAGATAGGGGGGAGAAAGCTCTGGGCATAGATCCCCCTTTTATTCATTGCCTCATTGCATAATCAAGCCACTCAACCTCCCTGAACCTGTTTCCTTGTCTGGAAGTGGGTGGCAAGGCAGCTAAATAGCGGGTTCCGTGCATTGCATGGGTAATCTGCCCAGGGCCAGCCAGGGCACAAGGACTGCACCCTAAAGTCCTCAGGGCAAATGTCACATCTCCCTCCTGGCCTGAAGGACTACCCCGCTCAATCCCTTCTCCATTATAGCTCTGTGCTTTGTGTTTTCTACCTGAAATGATCCCAGGGCATCAGGGACCATCCACGCCTGTCTTACTCAAAGAACAAAGGGCATGTATAGCATACTGCAGACACCTCATAGACATCTTAGCATGAACGATAAGTCATTCCAAAATTTACCTTACCTATCTCTTAGCCTGGAGAGAGAGAATCCTAGAGATTATGAGACTAGTTTGGATTCCACAAATGGCCAGGACCAAACTGGCCAGTCTTTCCCTATTTCTCTCTCTCTTGTTGTATAGAACAAAAGCCCACCAGGAAATAGATTTTTATGAATTAGCATTATTTTAGTAGTTTGAAAACAATTTAAAATAAAAGGGGGGAAACAGCTCTGAGCTTGGCACCGAAGACCCCGCTCTGTGACCCGGTGCAACGGAGCACACACCTGGGGCCTGTTTCTCTGAGGGGAGCCGGGGACAACGGCCTGAACAATCATGAGATCGAGATGAGCGTGCATGAGCTTTGAAAAGTGCTCTGTGGACTTACGATGCCACTGTCTTTCCAGGGCCGAAGTGTTTTTTAAAAGCAAACTTAATCCCCACACCCTGCCTCTGGTTGTAAGCCCTCCAGAGACTCCCACTGCACAAAAAAATTAAAACCCAAACTCTTTACCACAACCTGAGGCTGCATGGACTGGCCTCGGCCTATCTCTTCAGCTTCATCCAGCACGATGCACCCCTCAGGTCTGCGCACCAGCCACGCTGGCTTGGGGCCCATGGTGCTCCTCATCCATCTCGAAGCCTGTGCGTGTGTTGTTCCCTCTGCTTGGAATGCCTTTCCCTTCTCTCCTTCTCTCCCTCTTTCCACACACACAAATTCCTTCTTTTCCCTTGTGACTCAACTCAAATTTTCTCAAGGAATCTACCCAGTTGCCCTAGAACAGCCGTATCCAATATAGAATTTTCTGCAGTGATGAAAATATTCTTGATCTGCCCTATTCAGTAGGGTAACCACTAGCCACATGTGGCTATTGGCACTTGAAGTGTCTAGTATGACCAAGAAACTGAATTTTTAATTTTAATTAATATAAGTTTCAATATAACTGGTCATTCTAGGGACTGCCAAATGGGATGCTACAACTCTAGAATACTTGTGTTCTCCCATTACCCACTCATGGGTTCCTATGTTCCTTCATCGTGGCACCTACCACAGCTTGTAATTTTTATTTAGTTGTGCAGTTATTTAATCTATTCCACACTAGACTATAAGTTCCATAAGAACAAATGCTTGGTCTGCTTTGTCACAGTTGTGCCTCCAGCACCTGGCATGCAACCTGGTACATAGTAGGAACGTCATAAACATTTGTTGAATAAATGGATGGATGAATGAATGGTGAAAAGAGAAAATTGCTTAGCCTGTTGCAGCTGACAAAGAAGTGTAATAATGAAAAGCCCACAAGTCATAAAAGTAAGGCAAATTCTTGCTTATAGGAACCATACATTCCCTGTTCATTAATAAGCCTGTATGTATGTGCAGGTGTGTGTTCCAAAGCATAATAGTACCTGCAAGTTTGCATGTGTATAGTCATGCATACACACACACGTACATGGGCCTGCATGTCAGGGTAATGAGGTGACTAAGACACATGCAAAATCACTCAGGAAGGCAGTTTCTAAGTCGTTACTTTTATTTTGAAAGATTTGTCAAACTCTCCACAACATGGCAAGAGTTTACATGATTAATAAGAAGCAGCTTTTTCATGAAATGCTTGGAGGTGAACGAGTTCTCAGCCTGTGAGATCTGGCCATCCCATTGACTTCGAAGTATCCCTTGATTAATAGATGGAAAAGGAGGGAGGGGAGAAAAGGAAGAACATGCTAGAAACTGAGGGAAAGATCCCTCATGACAGCCATCCAAAAATGAAAAGGAAAAAAACCCCTCAGAAAACAAAACAAATTCATTAACTCCACTTTTTCTATTTTGCAACTTTCTACACCTCACTCTTGATTTTGGCTTTCCAGGCTGAAACAGCTTCCCAGTCCTGCCTCTCCCAAAGACAGTTAGCGGGGGAGAAGCCCACCAGACTTGGTGGGTTCCAGAGAACTGGTGGTCCACGGCTCCCAAAAGTTTGAACAAACAGCCTAAGGTGAAAAAAAAGGCACTGAAAGATGATGGAGGAAACAGAGAGGAACCAGGTTTAAACGAGAGCTTATATACCTTCCTAACAGAGTCTCAGGTTCTTTCAGTACAGACCCACGCAAACAGGACTGGTGATTGGCTGTTCTGGTTGGTGGGTTTTCCTGGGGTTTTTCCCACCACTGGTCCTCTAGTCCCAGAAACATTGTCACTTACTTCCCTTTGCCCACCTTCAGGCCACGTGGGGAAGAACCCCATTCCTACCCCCACAGCCAACACCCTGAAATAAAATCAACACAAAAAGTTTGACTTGGTGAGCGTTAGTTTGAAACAGAGGAATAGAGCAAATCTGAAGATGCAGTATGTGCTGAAGGCAGATGTGAGCAGATCAAAGTTCCCAGCCATTTGCCACTAGGAGATGGTCAGTGCTTCCAATGGCCAGAGGAAAAATGGGACTGTTAGTGGGTAAGCAAGAGGCAGAGTTACAACTATGAGTGTCATGACTTGGGTTACAATTTCCATTTTTAGCACCGTTAATGTGTTCACTTAAATCTATATTAGCACCTTGTCCCCAGGCAGAACAACAAACCATCCAAACATTTTAAACATTGGGGGAAACAGGAAGGGGAGGGTTAAAGAAGAGAATCCGGTACTGCGGACAGAGGTGTGGATTTAGATCACGAGATCCTTGTCAATATCCTCTGAAAATAAAAAAAGAGAGCAGAGTTAGACCTGAGGCCCCACACGGATCAGACGAGGCCCCATGTGGATCCCACACATCCCCAGGGTCGGGAGCCAGATAACCAGTCCAAGGTTCCCCCGGGAAACTGGTGACTGAGAACTCGGGTGTCCCTGTCCCTGTTGCTTACACCCAGTGCCAAGTTATATTTCCTCCTTCCTCTCCAGGTACCTGCCAGTGCCCAAAATAGTGCTAGGCACACACTGAGTGCTAATGCTTGAAGAAGGGAAAGAGATAGAGGCAGCTTGATGGACAGAGAAGGATCAGGAAGTCCCCTGAGGGAGCGAGGCTCACCTAAACACAGAGCGCAAACAGGAGTCAGCTAGGCAGAGGAAGCAGAGATGGGCAGGGAGGACAGACACAGATGGCAGGGAGAGAGGAAGGAGGCAGAGGACAGCAGCCCTCTGCTCAGATACTCACGCTCCTTAATGCCGAAGCAGCCGGCCCACTCATCCAGAGCGATGTACTTGTCGTTGTCCAGGTCACAGGTCTCGAAAAAGCGGGTGGTGCAGTGCTCCATGGGGATGAGGGGCGCGCGCAGTGGGGCCAGCTCGGTGTGGGACAGGTACCTGCGGGGGGGAGGCGGGAAGGGCCTGAGGCCTGGGAAAGCCGCTGAGCTGCTGAGGGACTCGGAGCACAGCACTGCCCCATACTGAGCCTCAGTTTCCCCCTCCATCAGCAGGGGAGTTGACCGTAATGTCTAAGGGCCCTTCAGGTCTGAGGTCCCGTGGGCTCATGACAATGGTCTCTTGGCGCATTAAATTGTTTCCTGATTGGCTAAAATTGGGGCACAGAAACTTCAAATGAAAATAGTCAGCACCTCTGCTATTGGTAGATCAAAATCTGGTATGAAACTGTATGTTTTCTACAGACACATTTATATAGCTGCAAATGCACAGAAAAAGTCTGAAAAGAGACATCAGAAAGACAACAGTGCCAACTTCTGGGGAGGAGCGTGGGAAGGGACTGGGATTTTCAGGGAGTGTTAAAGGGCACTCTAACATTCTACGTAGATCTTTCCTTTCTTTATATATCATGGAACATGTGAGGGAGGCCTTCTGATTTCTCTCCCACTGTCCTCCTTTCCTGTTCCTCCAGCTGGCCTTCTTCCTCCGAGCCCTCGACTAGTTGTCCTCAAAACACTCTTCCCCAAGGGCCGCCATGTGATAGAATTTTCTCTCTAATCCCTGGACCCTCTTTGCCCCACCCAACTCATGAGAGAAATCACAGCATTTGAACTGGAAGGAACAACCCTCTCCCCTTTCACTGTACACCAGTGGGGAAGGGACTCAGACAAGGCTGCTGTGCAGCTCTGGGACAAGAAGAGGGGGGCGGATGGACTCCTGGCTCAGGCTGCAGTGCTTTCCAGATGCATAGTCCTTGCAGCCCCATCTGGACGCCTTCTTCCCAGCCCGTTCCTTGTGGTCGGGTCCAGTTGCTCAGCCAGAGCTCCAGATGTCCCCTGACTTTTCCCCTTCCTGCCCTGAGTGAGTGACTCAGTTGGATCCCAGCCATGGAAAGAGCCTGGGAGAGAAGCCTCAGGGAGCTTCCCAGAGCTCAGGAGACCCCAACCACCCGATATCACCAGCAAGGCAGGCGCTGGGCACAAGGGCTGGGGCCAGAGCGAGGGCTGAGCCTCCCGGAGAGCAGCTCCCCAGGGCACGGTGAGCTCCCCAGGCTTCTCCAGGAGCACAGAGCGGGAGAGGGCCAGAGGCGGTGGAGCTCAGCCGCAGGTGGGCTGGCCACTGCCTGCCCCTTACGGGAGCCTTTTTAACTTTTTCAATTGTCAGGTACAGGTCATCTCCCAGAGTGTGAGCGCCATGTGGGCAAGGACCATATCAGCTCTGATTCCTGTTAAATCCCCTGCCTAAATTAGTACTGGGCACATAACAGGCACTCAATGAGTGTTCACTGACGCACTGCCTGCCTGTTCTACGGTGTGGTTGCACAGCCCTGCATAACTCATTGGGACCAGAGGCAAGAGTCATCAAACCAAGGGCTTGCAATGTGGATGGCATTGGCTCTGTGAATTTTTTAAGAATTCCCAGGGCCAGTTTGCTGTGGGGCTGGGTCTCATGGTCTTGCTGAAGGACCGTGAGCGTGCAGGCTGCCTCAGCTCCACCCACGCCACCCCTTTTGCAGTCTGGCACTGCTTCCCAGCTCACTCTCTCTCAACAAATGGATACCCGAGGCCAGTGCTCACAGAGCTAAGGAAGGACTGTCAGGTTGGCTTCCGCCCCTGGCTTGAGGGAGCATCTGCGGCTTTCCTCCTCCCAGTCTCGTATCCTTTCCCAGGGTGCCTGTGCCTTGCTGCCCCAGCCCTGAGGCAAACGGTGGGCTCCAGGACTGGGAGCATTAGAGGATGCCGACAGGTATTTTAGGCCATACTCAGTGCACCTACCAGCCCTGACCTGTGACTCTGTGCCCTGCAGGGCCGAGCCAAAGCAGCCCCCTGTGATCCTGAGGGCCTGGGGTCTTACCCGTCAATGGGGTGCTGGTCCAGCTGGCCGAACTGCCAGTGCACGGGGAAGATGTACATGTTGTAGTTCTTCTCGAAGTCCCGGGCCAGCAGCTCCACAGGGTGGTCTCCAGCCTCCAGGCGCTTCTCGTTCTCATGGATCTTTTTCACCTGTGGGAGCAGAGAGACACTGTGTGACAAAGGGTCTAAGGAGACTGTCCAGGTCAGGCAGGGTCCCTCCCACCTCTGACAGGAGGCCAGAGATCAGCCAAGCCCAGGGTTCAAGATGAGGGAAGGAAGTGGCATAGATGGGTATCAGGGTCTCATCCCCAGAAGTGGAGGCCTGGGGTGGTCTCAGAGGATTCTTCATAGAGCTGCCACATCAAAATAACCCACGTGGGTCTGGCTTCACAGAGACACTGATCCAGTAGGCCCGGTGCGGGGCCCAGCAATCTGCATTTTATCGATACTCCAAGTGCTTGACTTGTCTATTAGCATTTAAGATCCACAGACTGGGAAGGAAAAGGAAGTAGGGTTGTTTGTGTCTCTTGTTTAACACTGAGCAGAACAAAGAGAGCAGCAGGTCTCTTCGTTATAGGACTTCTCAGAGCCTTTAAGATGTGACTGTGCACCGTGAACCTCCAACGGCAGTGAGGAAGAGCCCATGTCCTAGTGGCCAGGATAAAGGCACTTGTCAGGGCGGGCATGGAAGTTTACGCTCGGAGGCCTTGTTCTCGGATGGGGGCTGAGGACCTCAAGGTGCCTGGGGCCACGAGCTGTCCAGCCCAGGGCCAGGCAGGCGTCCTGGAAAGAGACCACTTACCCGCAGCTTCTGCTTCTCGGTCAGAAGGTTGTTGTCCTCATCCCTCTCGTACAGAGTGACCAGGACGTTCTTGAGCCAGTCCCGCATGCGCAGAGGGAACTCAGACAGCTCGGAGTCCAGGCAGGGGGGGATGTCTGGGGTCCAAAACACAAGGATGGTCAGCACAGGTGCCAACTATCCCTGGCTGGGCCACTCTCCCCACCACATGCGTTCCTCCTACAGCCACTTTAACCAGTGACCGTAACACAGTGGCTTGGCCTCTCTAAGTCAGTTTCTTCACACCAAAGAAGCAAGAGGTCACGTGTGGGGAAGAATGCTCTGCAAATGGAAAGCACAAAGGCCTGTCTGCTGCTCCCTCGGCCTTGCCCTGATTGCTCCAAGGGCTCCTGAGCCTTTCTGGGTGATAGGCCCAGGACCTGCTCTGGTGACATCTACCACTGGGAATGCCTGAAGCTGGGAGACTGAGGAACAACATCTATCCCAGGCCCAGCTTAGCGGGGGTGGGGATTGTGGGGTGTTTGGAATGTTTAACCACCATAACATTCTTAGTGATAATTATTCCATCCTCGTCTCTGGAACTTAGAATCCCAGAATGCTAGGCCTGGAGATTTCATCCAAGTCTCCCTTCTTACGGGACTGATTGGAGGTCAGTGTGGAGAGAAGGGACTTGCTCGAGGCCACATTATCAGAGCTGCCTCCAGCAACCAGGGCATGTGTTTGCCTGGGGGCTCAGGGGTCGCTCTTCCCTCATCCTACACTGAAAGTCCCCTCTGTGGTTAGGCCCACCGTCTTCTTCACCAGCAGCGGAGGAGTGGCCGAGAACCTCTGTGAAGGAAACACTAGGAGTTGCAGCAAGGGAGCTATAGGCCCCGGAGAACAGCAGGAGCCACTGGGGAGAAGGCTCCTTGCCTCACGCCTCGGTCTCAGCGCCCAGGAGCTCCTGCCTGCGTTCCTCCCCCAGCCTCGCTTCTCCAGGCCTGGGCCCTCTTACCGCCCACCCTGGGGCCCAGAGCTGGGAGAGCGGGGCTGGCCACAGGGGCACCTGGATTTCCCCTCCGCCTGTCTCACTCTGCACACCTGAGGCAGGTGACTGACTGGCTCTCTCCAGTGCCAGGATGTGCCAGACACAATATGTGGATGTTGTCTTGGAGGGGGAGCAGATGTGGCCTTGGCTGTTTCAAATGATCGGGAAGGTGCCAGAGCCGAAGGAGCCAGCTGAATCTGTACCTGGGGTCACTGTCAAAAAGCCAGGCAACACCCTGGCATTTCTTCCCCCAAACACCTGACTCCCAGGTTTCTAGAAGAGGGTGGTCAATCACGTGTCTTCAGTAGGAGAGAGGGATGTAATGGAGTGAGAGGGTCAAGGATCTGACAATGCTGAGGGGGGCCTAAGGGGGACTGGCAGACATACCCCGCTTTTAAAGCGTTAAAATGAAAATATTTTCAAAACACTTTATAGTCTCGGGTGGGACATCATTTGTGCTTTGCCATGCCAGCCTTTCCTATTAGAAAAAAGAACCCCCTGCTCTGTGCTTCCATGCTGCTCAGTCCTTCCTGGGGGGTGTCCTGAGTGCAGCGCTGAGAGGCACCTGCTCATAGACAGTCATTTCATTTTATAAATGGGAGCCTGGAGGCTCAGAGAGGAGAGGAGATTTGCCCAAGATCTCACAACCCGGGGCTGGCAGAGTCGGCACCCGTGCCCGTTCAGTGCTCTCTCCCAAAAATGGGAGGCTGGAGGGCCCCAAGAGACTCACATTTGCAGGGTCCGATGTAGTCCAGGTGGAGTTTGTGGCCCTTCTTGGTGCCCTCCAGGGTGCACTTGGTGGCAAAGAAGTGGCAGGAAGAGTCGAACGTCTTGTTGTCATTGCTGCACACCTGTTGGCAAAACATAGAGCACCTCACATTCATCCCAAAAGTCCTTCACTGGTAGCACCATCCTCACCTATTTCAGAGATGGGGACACTGAAGGCCAAGCTAGGAACGTAATTAGCCCAAGTCACACAGTGAGCTAACGGTGGGGTTGCCACAAAAGCCCAGTCTTTGGGCTCCCAGGCCAGTGTCCAGCCCATGCTGAGAGTCACTGTCAGTCTCCGAGCAGAGGCACGACCAAGTCAGGGCTGAGATGTGGGAAAACTGGAAGACGTAGAAGGGATGAATTAAAGATGGAGATGACGAAAAGGCAGAGGGTGCAGAAGAGTTAACACAGCAGGCCTGAGATTGGTATCCTTACAGAGGTATGCTTGTAAAGTTGGCCCTAGACTGGCATCTGGAAAGTTGGCTGGTAAACAGGTCCCTGCACTGTTATAAACTTTCCACCAATGACAAATGTGACTGACTGTGCCTAGACCACTGTACAAACAGTGTGGTTTATGCTGAGCATTGGCTTTCCTTCCAGGAGTCTGGAATTTGAGTACAAGCTAGGCAGAGGGTGCCTGCGTGACCAGCCCCCAAGTAAAACGTTGGGTGCTGAGTCTAATGGCTTTCCTTTGGCAGAATCGTTGTTCACTGTGTCTACGTTTTTGTAGCTGGAGAAAGAGCGTAAGACCCATCATGAGGGTGAGGAAAGAGAAAGCAGGCCTGATTAACCATGGATTCCTGCCTGTGTCTTATTCTCCTATGACCCAGCTGTGTATTTTTTTTTTTAAGGTTTTATTTATTTACTTCCTAGAGAAAGGGGAAAGGAGGAAGAAAGAGAGGGAGAGAAAGAGCAATATGTGAGAGATACAGCAGCTGGTTGCCTCTTGCACACCCCCAACTGGGGAACGTGATCCACAATCCAGGCATGTGCCCCAACTGGGAATCGAACCTGTGACCTTTTGGTCCACAGGCCCGCACTCAATCCACTGAGTCACACCAGCCAGGGCCCAGCTGCTGTGTACCCTTAATACGTTGCTATAGCAAATCTTAGCTGTGCGTACAACTATTTGTTGGGTCATGTGAGTCCTCCCAGTGAATCTCTACATATGGAGGTGGTCAAGCAAAGATGCTGAGGGCTAACCAAGGGCAGTGGCACTAAGTAGCTAATGTTAGCGGGAGCGGAACTTTGTGTTGAACGTGCTGCATGTACTTGCTTACATATCACTGCAGAGGGAAACTTGGAGTTGGTGACCAGTGGGATGGGGGGTGAGGAGGAGGGAAGAGATGATGATGATGGTGCTAAAATTTGCCTCTCAGAGGATACGTTGTACTGGGGAGAGACGAAAGGGGGAGAATCCAGATAAGAGGTTGTGGGAATAAAGCCGATTTAGATTCACTATCCTGAGCTAGGTCAATAGTGCATTGATTGGCACGAGTAGGTACTCAACAAATATTTACTCAATAAATATAAATACAAGTTGGCTGGATGGAAAGTCAGTTGATTGAGTGAGTCCTACAGGGAGTAGAATGGACAGATCTGACAGATTTTTAAAAATAGCACACATTGGGTACTTACTAGGTACCCAGCATGATCTGACAAATCCCCACAACAGTCCTATGAGGTAAGGGATTATTTCTGTCTCCTCTTTAGAGATGAGAAAATGGAAACTTGAAAAAGTTTAGCAACTTAGCCAAGATCTCATAGCAAGTGGTGGAGATGGGGTTAGAAGTCAGCCCTCAGTCTGACTCACAGCCCACATTTTTGGACCTGAAGCTGTGCTAAGTGGCCCCCTTGTTGAGAACGCCCAGTGCCTGCTGTTGGGGTGTTCCCTTCCGAGTCCGACACAGAGCTCCGGACCGGATGCTGAATCAGTTCTAGCTGGTGGCTGGAGAGCCCCAGTGGCAGGCTGAGCCCCACCTCCGACTCCTCTCCACCTTCTTGCTGTGACAAGGCCTAGTGAGGGCACTGCTCAGGACTACCAAACCAGCAGCTTTCTAGGCAGACACTCTGTGTAGGGGAGGGCCCGGGCCCCGTCCCCGCCCCCAGCCCTCCGCCTCAACCCTCCGTGCTCACCTTCTCAAACTCGCCGATGGGGGCAGGGCAGCTGGTGGGGTCCTGGCACACGCACATGGGGGTGTTGTTCTCATCCAGCTCGCACACCTTGCCGTGTTTGCAGTGATGGTTCTGGCAGGGGTCTGGCAGAGTGCAAGGGCATGTCGTTAGCCCCACCCGAGCTAGCACATCTGTCCCAGCCCAATCCAGACCGATCCTTGGACAGAAGGCCTCGCCTGTGCCCCCTACTCTGGGCTTCGGGCAGCTAAGTCCTCCCTTCTCCTCTGCTGGCCCTGAGCCAGCGTTTAGGGGCGCTCAGTCTGAGGATTAAAGATTCAGTCTGAGGTCATGGTCACGCTCGTTTTGCGGGTGCTGTAGGCTCAGTCTGGGACCCAGGCTCACTGGGTGCCATATGGCTTCCCCCAGGATTGAAGCAACCATTCTGTTCTCAGCTCTTGGCTAATCAGTCATAGTGAGCAGTTTGGGATTCCAGTATGGACTTTCTAGAGTGACTGGGAAAGTCTGCTCTCGTCATGGAGCCAGAGAGCTGTGACACCCAACAAGAAAGACTTGAGAGGCTGCAGAGGAAAAGGGAGAAGAACCCCAAGACCCACACCAAACAATAGAGCCCAGGCGTGTCTGATAAATGCCGGATGAGGGGGAGGGGAGGGGGAAAAGGAACAGGATTCAGGAGACGCCCCTGTGCTCCAGCAAAACCTCTGTGCCCTCAGGATGAGAGCTCTATCGAGCCTTTCCCTCCTGATGCTTGGCCTGGGGTGTTTTAGTCATCTTTGATTAGACCCTGCTCTGCCAGGCACTGGGCCAAGTGCTCTTAGGCTTCAGCTCAGATCCTCCCACAGCCCTGGGGCCAGGGTCTGCTGTCTCTGTCCTGTTCCTGCTCAGGGTGGAGATGCTGAGGCCCGGAGGAGCTGAGTGAGCAGTGCGAGGGTGCTCGCACAGGGCTGACAAGTCTAAGTGCAAACTTTGGTTGGTTTGCCTGTCAAGTCCATGTGTGAATCCCAAGGATCTGATGCCCCTCCACTCTGTGGGATGGAGACGCCAGCACAGTGGGCTGGAGCTGGAGGCCCAGGGTCATCTGTCTTTCCGGCACTAACTCCATGGACAACATCCTGTGAGTTAGGCCAGGTTTCAGGCCTTGTTTCCTCATGGCCATGTGAAAACCCAACAACTGAATGAGTGTGAAACCTTCTGAGGTCCTCTCAGGCCTGCTCCTGTGTGGGGTGGGGGCTAAGACGGAGGCCAACGTGGAGCTCATGTGACCATTGACCTCTGTGAGAACGCAAAACCCACCTTAGAGAAGGGGCTATGAGGGAAGAAGGTCATTTCCAGCTGAGGAATGTCCCTTCCTGCCTCTCACAGCAGGTACAGCCTTGCTATAAATAGGTCTTCCCCAGAGTCCAGAGACTATTCCTGATCTCTAAGTCAAAGCCCTCCCTCCTCCGCAGCCCACTCTGTAGGGAGGACCCTGTCCTGCGTTTCCTTGGGAAGGAACCTCATGTAGGCTGTGCCCACGTCCGCTGCTCAGGGGTCAGAGGGCATAGACTGGGTGTGACAAGGGACCTACTCTCAGCCACCACCTCCTCTGCAACTTCCTCAGCACCTTCCTCAAATTCTCCTACTTCCACCTGGACGGGGTTGGCTCCTACAGGCACCTGGATAGAAGGGAGAAGAACGAGTCAGTTGGCACCACCCCTATCCCAGAGCTGGAAGGAAGGGCTGAAGGCTGGAGGGGACTTGCCAAAAGCTGTGGGAACCCATGAGGGGACAGTGGGCATGGCCCGAGTCTCAGAGAGCACCAACGCTTGCTCCAGAAAATAGATTCATCTCATAGACCCACGTGTTTGTTGTGCCCTGGAGTTCTATTGACATGGGTCGGGGGCCACAGGGGGTATCAGGACAAGAAGCGGTGCCAAACCCTCTACCCTGGCCAGCCACACAGGGGCAGCTCCCCTTCGATCTGCTTGATGTATGGGGAGACTGGGTGACCATCTAAGAAAAATGGCTCCACAGTTTAAAAAATAAAAATTTTCAGAATTATGGCTCCCACCGGTAGGGTTCCACTGAGGGTTTGGGAAGCATTCGGTAGTAGGTCAAGGCTGGAGGCTATATAGGATTTATATCTGTGCTGTGTGCACATGAGAAGGGGACAAATGCCCTGTTCCAGCAAGTGACCCACAGAACCTATCTGGTTTCCTCAGGGAAAAGATGTGGGCACAGGAGCGGGGGTCTGCGGCACCACCCCCATACCTCGGACACCTCAGCCACGGTTTCCTCCACCACCTCTGTCTCATCAGGCAGGGCTTCCTGCTGCTGTTGGGAAGAGAGAATGGGGTTCAGAGAGGTCAAGACCAAAGCCAGCTTTGCCTCTGAACTGCTTCCCACCTCAACCTAAACCTGGGGAGGTAAGAGAGCAGCTCATTGGAGATCCCCAAGGCTGTGCCTCAGGGACCACCGTGGGTCAGCCAACAAGGGCACAGGAGAGGGCAAACACGGAGACCCGTGGGCCACCCGAGCGCCTCGCTGGTTATACGTCATCCATCTCAGGTGCCTACCTGAGCTTTAGCCTGGTACACATTTCCACTGCTTCGACTCCAACAATGTGTGAAAACCACTGAGGAGACCACCTCCTCTTCCCTCACAGACACTAAAACAGGCCATAAAGTATGGACGAACACTGTGAATTTTAACAGCTGCCATTCTCTTCCCCACAAGTGTGATATGATTATGGTGATGATGGTGACGATTAGGCAATTCCTTCTTGCCATGTCAACTTGGAGTAGGGAGAAGCAAGATAGCAAATAACTTTGAGGCCATTGGCTGGCTGGGACTGCTTCTAAGAGTAATGTTAATCTTTTCAAAACTTTTGCCAAAATCTACCCACCTGATCAAGAGACCTACCACCACCCACACCTTGTGAAGAGAGGATGAGGGAATCGCAGGTGGAAAGGAACACTTCTTTCTGCCTGTTCCAAGCGTCTTCCTCCCTCCTCTGGTAAAGCCTCCCAGGTTAGCTTTGGATAACCACCCCGGCCCTCTGCATGTGGTTCTCAGGGGCCTGCCAGTCAAGGTGCCCCCCACTGCCCTGGCCAAGAGGCAGGCTCAGGACCCAAGCCCAGCCATACTGACACTCCTTGAATTTTTTAATAATCTTCTCTCAAGATGTGGAAACTGTTGGAACAGATCTATTTAGATGGGAACCTCCCTGAGACTGCCCGCTAGTTCTTACCTCCCAGACCTTCCTTTTCCTAGTCCTCCCCAAGGCCTCTGGTCTTAAAACCTCCCTCTATGTCCTTCTCCCCCTGAATTTACTCAGCTTGCAGTCTGTTGCTTGCAACCAAATAGCCCTCACTGACTCAGAAACTAACCCCTCCCTCTCTCTGTGGCTCAACTCTCTTCTAAAATCGTCCCATCAGCACCGCTCCCCCTCTGCTGGAATTCTTCATGTGACACAGTCGTCCCCTCCCCCTGCAGAAATCCTCGTCTAGTTCTGAGAAACTCACTGCTAAAATTTCATCTCATTACACAGAAATCTCTTTTCTCTGGAACCTCTACTAGGAGTCCTCATTGCTATTTTTAGCCTGAGCTTATTAGTTTAACAAAAAAAAATCTTGTTAAACTATAAAACAAATAACTTGAGATGAGGGAGCCCTTGTCCCTCCTGAGCATCTGGAGCTGAGAGTCGATGGCCCTGAGCTGCTGGGGGGAGGTACAGCCAAGCAGAGATGATCCTTAGGTACTTACAGGGGCTGCCAGGACCCCCCCGGCCAGGCAAAGGAGAAAGAAGATCCAGGCCTTCATGGCGCCAGGAACGCTGCAAGGAGAGAGATTGCGGCTTCAGTGAGTAGGAGGTTTCCTGGGGTGGGGGGCTCCTTCCGACGCTGAATTCCAGGGATATGCAAGGTAATTCTAGATGTGCATGTTAAATGATAGTGCAGGACATGGGAGAGGGTTGCTTCTACTAAATTCCCTCTCAACCCTGATTATATGGGAACGTCTTAGCTTGATGCTAAGATCCCTTTAACATCCCTCTCTACCACTTGTCTGTCGTCCTTTTGACGGAGAGCCTTGGAGATCCGGCCTCTGGCCCAGAGCCTTCACAGGAAACTATATCCAGCTGGAATTCCGCAAGTTGTTTTGTCTTCTTTGTATTTATTTTTATAGTTTCCTTCTATTGATACCAGAGGTACACAGATTTTTCCATTTATGGTAATCATACAAAGTCTCCTTTCTCAGTACATTGATTTTAAGTTTTTAAAAAGCGATCACAAAGACAGTTGGCTACTTTGTCAAGTTTGGACAATGCTGAACAGATCCTGTTCAAGGGACCTTCAATCCCTGATGTTCTAGAATTATTTTCCTAACCACACCAGACTTTCCTCCTCTGCCTCCTCCTCCTCCTTCATCTCTTCCTCTTCCTCTCTATCCCCTCCGTAATGGAAGAAGTTAATAGGCAGCAACTTCTTGCCAATTGGAGACAATATCTACATTATAAAACAAAGAACAGCAGTCTTGGAGCGCAGCCTGTGGAAACTTGGGGGTGGCCACATTTTTCTCTGCATTCTTACCAGGAAGGGCAGCATGGCTCTGTATCCTCTAGGATGACTGTCCAAATGCTTCTATGTGCTGCGTGTTCTCTTTCCTGTTCACAGCTAAAGGATGTCAGCTGAGATCTAGAAAACCCTCCTGTCCTGGGCATGGCTAAGACCTCACTCTTTAAATCCTGAACTTTTGACTCTAATACTCTCCTGACAGGGAGGGATCTTGAAGCCAAATCTCCTCTAGTGATTCTATGCCCCAAATGCCCTCTCTATGAGAGGGTTGATGGGGAAGACACTTTATTTCTTGTTCTAACTAAATGTACTTACATTTTCAAATGGCTTTAAAAAGTTCTTCCTCGCATCGATCTAAATTTGCCTACCCCCGCCCCCCGACTCCTGGCCTACTCTGCGGCCAAACAGAACAAGCATGCTCCCTCTGCCCCCAAGCAGCCTTCTGTCAAGGTGAGCTGTCACCCTGTCTTCCCTCGAGTGTCCCTCCCAAACTTCCAGATTGGGCTTATCATCCCTGGTTCCTCCCAAGACCTCTCCACTGACCAAGCACCTTGGAGGCACAGAAAAAACATTCAGCTTGGAATGACATTGCAGGACTTCTTATTGCACCTCAATAGTGTTTTGGTGAATCGGTGACGTCCTTCATCCTCCCTAGCCCTTGGTTCCCCCTTCCATTAGTTGAGGGAGTTAGACCTGGTGAACTCAGGGGGTAGGCTGGGCCCTTAAAATGGCACAGGCACATACCAGTCTTAGTACACAACATCCCCTATGGCAACAAACACTTTTGCTGGGATTATAGCATTTGGATAGCAGAAACAGGCAGGGGAAGAGCAGAGTTCATAATAATCCTCTGTTGGATTAAAACAGACACAAAACCTCACCTCCTATTTCACAGGGTGTGCGTGATGTAAAACTAACAGAAAACTAGCAAGGAATCAACCTGGGAGCCTGGCATTGCTCCACCCTGGCCCCAGCTCCCAGAGAAGTCCAGTCTTCCTTCTCTGGGCAGTTTTTGGAATGCCCACCCCACCACCCCTCACACACTTGTAGGCTTGTTCTCCCCGGATCTAGAGTTGGAAAAGTCTCCCTCCTTGCAAAGCAACTCCTGCATCTGTTTCAGACGAATGGAGCAAGAGCGAAGGCATCAATGGAAGACTTGTCTGAGATTGAAGTTGAAGGGTCAAAGTGAGACTGGCAGCTAGGACAAAAAAGAAAAAGTCGTCTTGTCTGGGCTCCAGTGGCGGAGGGCGAGTCCCTGGAGAAACGGCTCAGCTAGGACTGTAAATGTAGGAAGTCTGGCCGGGGAGGCAGGAAGGAAGGCCAGTGTCTCCAGAGTCTGTGTCCTTTATCTGAGCAGAGGAGCCGTGCCCTTCTCTGACCAGGGAAGGGTTTGCTGGGGGCTCTCCACCTGTCCTGCCTCAGCGCTTTCCTGCATTTCTTTCCCAGGGGCACACTCACCCTTTCTGCCACCTCTGTCCCCAGTTTTGCAGCCAGAAGAGGAAAGTAATTCTAAATCTTGCCATGCTTTGCAGTTTCTAAAGGCCCCGCTTTGACACCGTCCCCTTAGAGCCTCTGATGCATGACAGGTGGGCAGACAGGCATGGGAGGGTGCTTAGTCCCACTTCCCCGATGAGGAGTCTGCCGTTGAGAGGGAGGAAGCCATGCAGCGTCCAGGCCTCTTCCCCGTCGACTAACTCCCTCCTCATGGCATAGGGGTGGGGGAGAAATTCAGAGAGTGAAAGCATTAAGAAAAGGACCTACAGTCTTGGAGGAGTCTTTTTCCAAATTTGGGGTCCTGCCCTGTACCTCGTGCTACATCACCAGTCTCAGAACCAGTCCTCTCCAGGGGATGGGCCCAGAGGGAGTGGGGAGCAGCTGGGTTTGTGAATGCACAGCCCACACCCTGCAGCGCCATGGGATCCACCTCTGAGGTTCACTAGAACTGGCCAATGAGGCCAGGCGCCCACCCTGCAAAGCTAACGGGGTGCAGCAGGCACCTCAGCAAGGTCAGGTTACAGGGTCAGACCCCAACATTCACAAGTTATCAGCTGTGCACACTCATCCTTTGCTAATCAAGCCCAAGCCTGGCATGCCTGGTGAAAATATAAATGCATTCAGAAAAATGATCAGGATTAAATGAAAATTCCCTTCTTTGTAGCTCTTTAGTGTGTGATGATGCATACATTTATCTTTTTTTTTTAAATCCTCACCCAAGGATATGTTTACTGATCTTAGAGAGAGGAAGAGGGAGAGAGAAACATTGATGTGAGAGAAAACCATCGATCGCTTGCCTCCTGTATGCACCCCAGCTGGGGATGGAACCCACAACCTAGGCATGTGCCCTGACTGGGAATCGAACCCACAGCCTTTTGTTATATAGGATGATGCTTCAACCAACTGAGCCCCCTGGCCAGGGTGCATATGTTCATCTTTTTGAAAGTGTTTTTCCTAATCTAGCATCCCACTGGGGCCCCAAGGCATGTCTCTCTGCCCTATAGTACAGGTGAGGAAACTGAAGACCAGAGAGGGGCAGAAACCTGCCAAGAAAGAGCCCCAGGCAGGGAGTGTCAGGGCTGACGGAGGACCCAGACAGCCCCACTCCACCACCGGCATGCTCTCCGCCTCAGCATCCTTTGCAGCTGCTTGCTCACAGCCGCAAACCTGAGCATTCAGTGCTCACCTGAATGGGGCCCCACTGGGCTGTGGACTGGCCCAAAGTGCAGGAAGGGAAGGTAGCCCAGGCCAGGGGAGGAACAGAAGGTGTTTCCCTTGGCTCGGTGGTCATCAAACGTGGACACCACTCACCCCCACCCGACTGCCACCTCCGCCGCCTATTCCGTACATCAAGTCCTTTCCTTTGCCTTTATTTGCTCTGGAGATGGCTGAACACCCGTCCTTGGCTGCCAGCAGGACCTGAAGCTGAGGTCACTTCTCTCTCTTTGGACAGGCTCTGGGGATGGAAAAGTACACCAGCCCCCCGGTTCGTCTCCCTCACAGTGTGAAGGACCCCCTCAGCTCTCCCTGGATGCTGAAAAGTTGCTGAACGTCAGAACTGGGGAAAATCTCAGAATCCTAGAATTTCATACTAAGGGTCTTGGAATCAGACTTTTAACCATGTGAAGCACAGAATCTGAGCTGTAATTATGAAATCTGATTTGAGTAGAATGTTTGCAAAGCAATGCAATCCAATAGAACTTTCTGAGATGACGCACCATCCAGTGTGGTGGCTACTGGCCACATGTGGTTGTCAAACACTTAAAATCTTGCTAGTACAAATGAAGAACCCAATTCTTCATTGTATTTCATTTTAATTAATTTAAATCTAAATACCACAAGCAGCTAGGAGCTACCCTGTTACACAGAGTGGTTATAAACTTTTCTAGAGGTAGAATAGCATAAAGGTACACTCTCAGGCTCTGGAGTTCAAATCCTGGTACAGGTTCAAATCCTGGCTCTGCTAGTTAGCAGTTGCATGACCTTCAGAAAGTGACTTTCTCTCTCTGGGCCTCAATTCATTTCTCCATCTGTAAAATGGAAATAACATGCCTACCTTATAGGGCTCACAGGTGATATACATGAGAGAGTACAAGAAGTGAGCAATGTTATTTGAAAGAGCATCTTGAAACCCAAGGATCCCAGAATCTGCATCCCCCCCTCAAGAATCCAGGGCAAGAATCCCAGCTCTTTGTGGTCCAGGGAGAAAGGCAGTTAGGGTGGAACAAAGGGGACATTGCTCCTCTTGGTCTAAGGGACACCGGCCCAGCCTCCAGGCTGGCCTCTTAGTTGGGCTGCTGACGCAAAACAAGCATCTCACTCCCACTGTTTGGCTTGGAAACAAGGCTTCCAAAAACACACATTCATGGTAAATAAGCCCAAAGAGAGGAAAACAAGTCTAGAGGCTAAAAAAGGAGCCCGTGAGCCAGGCCTGCCAGGGAGCTGGGACTTGGAAAGTGGCGGAGCCAGGCCAGAGAGGTACCATAGCAGCCAGTGCATGCGCAGACGCAGCCACGTGGAGGTGACAGGGCCGTCAGGAGTCCTGAGATCGAGTCCTGGCAACACCGCCCAGCTCCCTGTGCAAACTTAGGGAAAGCCCTGCACTCCCAGACCTCGCCTCGCCTGCCCTCAGCACAAAGGCTGCTGTAGATCATGGTGTTCACAATGGTGCGGGCCAGGGAGCCCTTCCTCACCATGAAACTTGCTGCTGCCATTCAAAACTGAAACAGCTAAAGCCCATTGCCTTTGCTGAAATGAGAATGTATTATTATCCATAAATCATCTTGAGATTAAAAACAAAGCAAAACCAAAAAACCCTAAAGCAGGTAAGAGTGGCGTTGAAATGGGCCTGGGAGTCCTACACACTCGGACACTCCCGGAGGGGCCTTGGAGCTTCTCTAGGTGCCTATGAACACAGTCTGGAAACCCTGGGGCAAGGTGCTCCCTGAGGTTCCTTTTGTTCCTGATGCTGAGTCAGCTCAGGCAGATGCCTTGTCAAGTATCACCTCTCCCCACTTGCCCCTTGACTCTTAGCTTCCATGTCTAATGCTTCTTACTGGAAGGGAAGAAGCCAAGGGAAACTTTCAGGGTGTTACGGGTGCTCAAGCCTAGGACTGAAGAGCTGCTGGGCAACTCAGAAGTAGCCCGGGAGGTTGAGACTGGAAATCAGCCTGACTTTGATTCCAGAAAGGCATGTAAGATGCCACGTTTCACCCCGGGATGGAGCTTCAGGCTTACCTCCTTGGCGCCCCCTAGGGGCCACTGCTGTATCGGTGCGACCGCAAAAGGAGGGGATGAGAAAGAACGTCCAAGTCCAGTAAGTCACAACCCAAAGATGGCAAATACGTGGCACATAGGCCTCCATCTGCTCCTCCTGCACATGTGGCATGCATGACTAATCAATTACATTATTTCCCCTAAAGTCCAGAGTGGAATCTGTGTCCTGGACCATTCTTCTGGCAGTTGCTACCAAAGGACTGTGAATTTCACAAGCTCTGTGAAACCTCTTTGCCAAGCTCCTGATTTTAGAAACAGAGAAATCGAGAATCAAAATGGGGAAACAACTCACTTGAGGTCATACAGCAAGGTGGTGGCTGAGCTAAACTTCAGATGTTAACCTTGTTCTGTTTTGTTTCTTTTTTATCTGATCAATCTGGGATCCTAATTCCAGGACTAGCACGGGATGACTCGGAGGGATACCCTGACAAGATAGGTTAATGCCAAGTTTCTGAAAGGACCCAGCTCTGGAGACAACTGGTATGTCCATCCATATATTCCCTGCAGACCTCCAGCTCTATGCCTTGATGAGTGAAAGCAGAGTTAACTTCCTGAAGCCGCTGTCTTTTTCTAAATGGTTTTGTCAAGTCACACCAGGCTGACTGTGGCCCTGCTCAGCCCAGCAGTCCCTGAGTTCAGGGTCGGGGTAGGAGGCAGGCCCTGTGCTGTAGAGAAAAGGTAGCTTCATTAATCCCCAGGGTCACCTGAAAACTGAGCTCCAGCCTACCTTTCCTTCCTTTAGAGAGAGAGGTTAGGGAGGGAGTCAGCGGGAAGCAAAGGAGAACCCACCTATTAGCCATATCGTCCTACTACCACAATGACAAAGCCATTGCACGTCAGCAAAGGCCATTGCACGTCAGCAAAGGAAAGAGAGTACTGCTTATTATTTATTATCCACAGGGCTTGTTGCCTATAGAGGGACGTGTGTAGATGTGATGATTGATCAGATGCGGGGGAAAAAAACCAAGGTGAACATTTGGATATTTCCAAATATCTGAAAGTTTGGCTCAAACATCAGTTTGCTGTGTGACCTTGAATGAGTTATTTTTCCCTTCCTGAGTCTCAGCGTCTCTATCTGTCAAATGTAATGGTGGTCTGATGCTGTATGCATGTCTGTAACGTGTCTTTCCATCATGACCCATAGTTTTGTGTGGCTGTGCACATCTGCATGTGGTTGCTGCATGGCAGCTGTGTTTGCATGACTGACAGTGTGTCCACATAAGTTACCTACAGACTGGAGGGCTTCTGTGCAAAGCTGTGTACGTGTGCCTGTGTATGTCTACCTGCCTCAGCATCTGTATGTTTCAGCCTGTACAGTAGGGGTCAGAGTTTGCATATACATCAAGATGTTTACCTGGAACTTGTCTATGAGTCAAGGTATCAGGTATGTGAGCGCATAGCCTTTCTGGTCTGCTCATGTATTGACTGAGGCATTTATTTTTAGCTGTGCCCGTTGGTGCCTGTTGGTGAAATCAGTGTGTATATGCTGCATCCTCATTGGTTTGTGTCTGTCCCTGTTTATCTCTGCACACTTAACTGCCAATCTAAATGACACCAACAAACATTCTCCTGTTTACAGCAGTCCTCAGATCTTTCCTTTCCTCTACCACCCTTTCCTATTTAAAGCATATTTTCAGCAAGAAAAGCTGCTCTTGTGAATAGCACACCGCAGCCATACTGTTGGCTGACAAGTGTCTACAGATGGATAAAGATTTTAGCAGGACTGTTATGCAACCCAAGATCTTGAGGCCCCTCCTCTCTTGTTTCCTTTTCAACTATGGGAACAGGGACTAGTAAAAATTAGGCCAGCTATTCCTTCTAATGAAGGCAGCCTCTGGAATTTAGGTTTGTAGGACTTCAGAGCAGGAAGGGTAACTGGAGACCATCTACGTTAAATTCCCTATTTAACAGATTGGGAAACTGAGGCCAAGGGAGGGGGAGGGTCTTTCCAATGTCATTCACTGTCATTTCTGACCCGCTTCTGCTGGTGCCTTGCCCAATGCTCTTTCAACACTGGAGGATACAACACTCTTGAGAAATCCTCAAGAAGGGGCCCAAATCAAAATTAATTTAAACAGTATATTCTTTAATATGCCCGTTAGCACTTTCAGTAAAGGGAAGTTATATACAACAAAGATGATGTATATAATCTGCCAAAGAAAAAAAGCTGGGAATAATTTCCCCAACTCTTTGGATGACATAAATGCATCAATTGTAAAAACCCATGCGTTCAGTGGGAGGGCCACAAGTTAGCAAGTGCTTCCCTGTGTTTTATCCCGTTTGGCCTGCATAATTTCCCTTTGAGGTAGCTGCTGTTACTACTCTTTAACCAAGGAGGAAACTGGGGCTCAGAAAGGAGAAGTTCAAGGTCAAATGGCATCTTCAGGGCAAAGATGGAACTGACACTCAGGTCTCCAAAACCCTGTCTGGGAAGCTTATCACAGCCCCACAGCCGCCCTGAGATCCCTAGGAACCCAGAAGATCAGTATGGGGGGGCCTACAGTCTGCTTTGTTAGTGTTTGGGGATGCGGTGGAGTGGGGGACATTCACACTGAGCCCCATGTACTATTGAGTGTTCCCAGCATCCCCTCCCAGCCAGCAGGCAGAGACCCTGAAAAAAAGGTTACCGTGGCAACTCGCATTCCTCCCAGAGTGAGTCATGGCAAAGAAGAGCTTTTCGGTGGGTGGGACTTGGAGAAAGTTTCAAAAGTTGATTCCTTCTCCAGCAGCACCCCCCCCCCCTCCATCCCTAGGCTTTGTCGATGTGGCAGCTGATGGCTGAGAGTTAACTCTTTTCCCTCAACCACTTATATTTCAAAATTTCTCAACCCCCTGCACACATATATTAACTTCCACTCCCCACCCACTCCATCTCCCACACCATGCCTGCTATTTTGGGGGGTCACGCATCCATTTGAGAATATCTGGATACTGAGGATGTGAACACCCTCTTGTGCTCTATTTCTCTCTAAACACACACACTACTGTACACACAATTTTAAGGGGCTTGCAGATGCCTTGAAGCCCATTCAAAGGCTAGTCGATGGATCCCCATTTAAGAGACCGTCATATGAAAGTTTCAGAAGGCGTCAGGTGCACCAAAGACCATCGAGTCCAACCCTCTTGCTTTACTAATGGAGAGGCTAAGGCCAGAGGAGACACTTACCTAAGATCACAGATACAGTGCGTGCCTCCAGCCTGCCATTCTGCAACTGATTTGCTTCTCCCGCTCCCATCAGCACTTGGGTGTAGAGAAATGTAACCCTAGGGTATTGCTGGGGAAAACATTTTCTCTGTGTTCTGCATAGCTTGCTGTCCTTTCTGGAGGAGGAAGTTGCCTCTCTGTTCACTTTTGGGCAGCCTGACCTTCTGGGAAGACCATACCTCATCCCAGCACCCCTCTCTCTTGGCGTCCTTCAGGGCGCAGGAAGGCCACTCACCAACCAGCCCACGGAGCCAGCAGGGTAAAGACAGGAAGGGGTTTATTTGAAGGAAGCCTGACACCCTAAAAGGATAAGCACCGGTCCTGTGTAGGGTTTGAACTACTTGAAAGAAGGAGGTGTGTAAAAAAAAAAAAAAATGCCCTGGAGCTTTGTCTTACCATGTCCCCTCCCCCTTCTCAGCACATTCCCCACCACACCCAGCCTCCCACAGGACCCAACTCCCGGTATCAGATACCTGGGGCCTTCAGCTCCAGACACTCTAAGTAAGGGCTAAGGCTATTGAGCTCCAGTGTTTACACCCCAGGGGGCCCAGCACAGGGACAATGCCTAACCCCAGGCGGCCTGGTGCCTCGGAAACAGTGTGTCTAGGGGTGAGGATGTCAATAAGGGAGGATTCAAGGGAAATGAGAGCCTTCCTGGAGGTCCTAATTAAAGGCAAAAGACCCCTTAGCCTTCTGGAGATTAAGTCATCATTTATGCAAAGTCCCTTTTGGAAAACAGAGCCCCTGATCAAGAGCCAAGTGCAGGCAGTTTCTTCTCCGGGAACGGGGAGCTGGGCAGGCACTTGCTGCCGGCAGGTCCCGGTTGCAGCTGTGACCAGATCAGATTCCCAGGGAAGGAGGAGGCTGCCACATTTGTGAAGGGAGCACGGAGGGACTCAGGCAGCCTCTGAAATCAGAGACAGCCACAGAGAGAGGACTCCCTCCAAGACATAGTGAGATTTTTCTTCTGCAAACCTAGAAGTTACGCTGTGATTACACCCGAAAAGCAACAGGCAGAGAGTCGGAGGCCACAGCCCTCCAGGGGCGCGGTGATAGAGCCCAAAGGAGATGCGCGCCCCCTTTTCTGACCCCAGGCCTCCCAGCACGGCCTCCCCCTCCCTTGTGCACACGCTGGAGGAGTGAACCAGGGTGTAGGCTGTAGAAGGGAAAGGCAGGGCAGGGCTGGTGCGTACCTCAGTGGCAGGAAGGCAGCGGGCTGAGTGCGCTCTGGCAGTCTGAAGGTCTGCAGGAATGTGGAGGGGTTTAGAGCCGGGCAACAGGAAACCACTCAGAGCTCTGGGCTGGGTCTGTCTCCCCCTCCACACCGCCTGCCTGCCTGCCTGCCGAGGTCCCTCCTCCTCCTGTCTCCTCCTTCCCTCCCACCCCTGCCCCCCACCCCCCAGCCAAAGCTGTCTCTGTCTTCCATTGCTCTCTTCCTCTCCTTGTGGTGGGCTGTCCTGACCAGACTCCTCAGCCCCGCCTGCCTCCTGGTTCTGTGGCTGCTGCCTAAACAGATGCAGGGAGCCCGGCAGGCATCACCTAGAACAGCCTCTCCCGTGTTCAAAGGGGAGGTGAGGCCCAGAGGAGTAAGGCGTTCCCCAGTGGCCCCCAGGGGCAGAGAAATGTCTTGACTTAATGACAGCGCTCTTTACAAGCACTGACATTAGGCAATGCTGAGGAGGGCGAAGCAATTTAAAAGTGCTGTATCTGTGACAAAGGCAAGGCCGGGGCTTGCCTCTGTACAGACAAGAAGCTGCCCCTGTGGAATCATCGCTGATGATTTGGTATATGGTCTAAAAATAACAGCTCTAACTCTAGTTGCACTGTTAATAGACACACAAGAGATTAGCATTCTAGTTGGGGTCTCTGTGTTATCAATATAGAGCAGATACGGTGATTGATGATATTGTTAATACTCATAGAAGTATCAGTAGTCCAGGTTTACTGAGGACTTATTCATCTCCACAGCAACCCTTGACTTAGATGTTGTTACTAGGTGCATTTTACTAATAAGGACACAGAAGCTCAAAAAAATGTCACTTGCCCAAGAGCATTTTGCCCAAGAGCCAAGGCAGGCTGATTCTACATTCAACTTCATTCATACTGATGCTACATGAACTTCCCAGTGCAGGAAGTCTTGGCTGAATATTTATTACATGCTTCACACTTTGGGAAGAAGAGGAATTAATATCTAGCCTTTGCCCTCAAGAAGTTTTGGGTCTTGCTGAGAGGACATGCCTTATGGATACATGAGTGGGACAAACTCTGAGGCTTATCCCAGGGGCTCAGAGTGCTAGGGATGCCGGTTGGAACAGACAGAGAAGCCTTCCTGGAAGAGGTGGACTTTGAAGCATGGATTGGGTTTGAATAACACAGAAAAGGTTAAAGCAGTGCATCCTCAGCCACTTCTGCATGATGTGGCCTCCGCCTCTCTTGCCATCCTCTCCTCCCTTCTTCCTCCCTCCTCCTACCATTCTCCCCCTTGTTCACTCTACTTCAGTCACACCAGCGTCCTTGTAGTCTCTCAACAACCCCCATGCTATTCCTACCCCAGGACCTTTGCACTTGCTCTTACCCCTGGCAAGAGCATTCTTCCATCTGATTTTACGTGCCTACAGTTTTCTCATCCTCCAGGTCTCTGTCCTAATGTCACCTCCTAAAAGAGGGCCTTCCTGACCTCCCAACTTAAATCAGTCTCGCTACCTCTATCACTGGCATAGTTCATCCCCTTACCCTTAAAGGAAATACTGCTTTATCTCCTTCCTTGCTCTTGTCATGATCAGAAACCATTTGTCTCCCCGACTAGACAGAAGCTCCATGAGAACTGGGGCGTTAACACATCTTGTTCACTGTCCTGGTTCAGTGTCTAGAGCAGTGGCCAGCACAGCCTTGGCTCCCCATCAGTGAGGGCGTTGTTTTCTAATAGGGCCCCAGCCTGGAATCGTGCTGAACACTGGTCTTCTAGAGATCCTCAGACCTACAGAAACTGGGTGGAACAGTTTGGGCATCTGTGCAGGAAAGGTCCCTGGCTTCTTCCAGGTTCTCAGAGGAACTGGCCAGGAATCCAAGGGAGGAGCTGCTCCAGATGACCACCGAGGCCTCCCGGGCGAAGGCCAGGGCTGGGGCCCTGCCTCGGCTGTCCCGCACCAGGGCTGTGCCTCGACAGTCAGTCTTTTGCTGTCTGGACAGATGTGTACTTTTATAGGATTGGTTGCTATAGCTCCCGTGCATCATGAGGACTAAAATTAACTTAAACTTTGTGTTTTCTTCATAAACAAACATAATGATTCTGATGGAAATGAGCTGATGGAACTATTCACAGTGTTTGGCTGAAGTTCCCACGTGGCCTTTGGCTCAGGGATTGGAAAGCCAGATGGGGTTAAATGAAAGCTTTGGGACAAAGATCCCATCTGGGGCCCACTCCCCGGTCCCTGTGGGGATAGCCCCCGAGGCCAGGATCGCTCAGGGGAAACGTTGGTAGGTTTTCTGCCTGGGGTAGGAGCGCCCTGGGGCAGCAGGAGCCTCTGAAGCACGGATGACTTTGACCTAGAAAGGGAGACGACTTGTTTCTCCCCTTTCTCTTCTCCTTCCTCTTCATTCTTACCATTTTTACACCCTTTTGGCCATTCCAATGTACTTCCTCATCTTCTGTCTCATCAAATGGCAGCGCAGCTCTGCGAGGGAGTCCAGGGAGGGCTTAGAACCCATATTGCAGGTATAGGGAAACTGAGGCCCCAGTCACCCAGGAGAGCTGGGGCTCCCGACCACTGGCTGAGAGGCAGATTCTCAGCGCCACCAAGGACCTGCTTGTCTTTCTGCTCGGTAATGTGAGACTGTCACCTGAACCACCTGTCAGACCATCTCTGGGACTGGGGCCAGGTGGACCACCGGGGTTCCCGTGTATAAGCAGGGATACTCGGACAGGGAGCGAGAGGTCTGAACTCTGGAAGGAGACCAGGGAGGCTGTTCATTTGGTTTCTGGCAAAAAGGAAAGCAACCAAGTAGGAAGTTAAATAAATAAAAGCAGAGCCAAGAGCCACAGGTAAGACCATACATTAGAAACAGGTTCAGCTGCCCAGGCCGTAAATCTTGAGTGCACCTTGCAGGTAAAAAACTTAAACTTTGCACATGGGAACTTGATGGCCTGTGGGGACCAGGTGCCATTGGAACAGTTCTGACTAAGCTGGGAAGAGAGGTAGTAGCCAATATTACTAAGTGGACACAGGACAAAACATTATATCCATTATCTCAGTTAATCTTCGCTTAATATACATACTTAGGTAGCAGATTAGTTTCCCGTGATTGCTGTAATAAATTACCACAAACTTGGTGACTTAAAATATACATTTGTTGCTTTAGTTCTGGAGGTAAGAAGCCCTAAAATGAATGTGTTTCATTCATTCAGAAGCAGGGCCGTGTTCTTATGGAAGGAGGCATGAGGGAGGAACCTGTTTCCTTGCCACCCGTACTCCTTGGCTCATGGCCTCTTCCTCCATCTTCTGAGCATGTCACTCCAACCTCTGCTCCCGCCCTCATATGTTCTTGTCCACTTTACCCTCTTGCCTCCCCCTTATACCTTTGTGATTACTTTGGACCCACGTGATAATCGAGGAAAACCTTCCCATCTCAACATCCTTAATTTAATCGGTAAAGTCCCCTTTGCCATGTAACCTAGCATATTTATAGTTATGGGGAATAGGATGTAGACATCTTTAGGGGTCCATTTTTTTGTGTGTGTCTACCACAGGTAGGTACAATGACCATTCCCAGTTTAAATATGAGAATACAAAGGTGTAGAGAACTGAATAACTTGCTCCAAGTTCCCTAGTGGGGAAGCCAGGAATCCGCACAAGTAGCTCAACTCCAGAACCCCCTGCCCACCCTCCACCACTCCCCTGCAGCAACCTCTGCCTCTGCCATGTTCTTGGAGAGGCTGCCTCCTTCCCTCATCTGCTCTAACCCTACCCATCCTTCCAACTCACACTGAATTTCTATTCTCTCACAGTTTAGGGCTGATGGGGCCCTTAGATCCTTCCCAGTTCTATACCTTCCTTGTATGGCTGGGGAAATTGAGGATCTCAGGGCCCAAGGTCACAGCGTGGACAGCTAGGCCTGGAGCCCTGGTCTCCCAACTCCAGCTCTGGCTGCCCTTAGCCTGTGGAGGCAGGGACTGGGCTGGCTGATCCCTTTGGGCTGAAGATTGTGTATCAAAACTCTGAAATGCACCCTTTGTATATCTGGCTCAAAGTCAAGGCTGCCAAGCTAAGACGGCTGGGGTGCACGGAGACTGACTCAGCCTGTTGTCTTGTTACTGTATCTTTCCCTGGGGGGCCCTCCCATTGGCTGAAGGGCACAAAGACCTCATTGTCATCTGGCCCTTGGTCTCCTGGGCAGAGTGGCCACTGACCAGGCCAAGGCCGAACAGAGAGGAGGATGAGGTTTCACTGCATCACCCCTCCCCACCTGCAGTTCTCCCATTGATTCTTCCCTCAGCTCGTTACAGTACACAAAGGACTGTTAGACCCATAATCTTATTCAATGGCACAGTTAGTCTAAGATAGAAAAGTCAGGATTCACCAAGCATATTTTGGGCTTGAGTAGACAGAGTGTCCCTCAGAGGCCTGCCCAAGGTCACCCAGCTGTCCCCTGTGGAACGGAAATGAAAAGTCCAAACTCAACATTTGGTCCAAGACCCTTCCCGCTGGGTTAGCTTCTTCCATCAAGGTTCCAGTGAGATTTTGCCCAGCCGTCTTCTCACAGAGCCCCCTTCTTTGCTGAGGTGACAAATGGCTTACAATGTGTTGGCCACTCTTTCTCATGTGGACACAGACCTACCCAAAGGGATGCTTTAATCAGAGTTCTGAATTCCATTCTGCCCTTCGGAGGCCTGTGCCCACAGGCCCTGCCTATTGCCTATCCTTGAGCAGTTCACCTCTTTCCTCTACCTCAGTTTCCTTTCCCTGTTAAATGGCATGAGTATCCTACCTGGCCCTCCTGAATATAAAGTCAGGGTAAGATTCAAGTGAGCATGAGTTTTAGAGAACTGGTAAACACGAGAGCAAGGTTAGAAGGCTCAGCTTTGAAGTCAGACCTCTGGGCTTGGGTCCTGCCGTGAGTTATTTAGCCCTGGAAAACTTGGGGTATCTTCCTTAACGTCCAGCCTCAGCTTCCTCAAGTGTAAAGTGTAACTTTCTACTGTAGGTTCTTGAGAGGATCAAATGAGATCATCTTTGAAATGCATTTGGCTCACTGTTATATATTATGACATAACCTATCAATAACTATTAGCTATCTGATCAGTAGGTTATTAAATCATTCAACATTTCCC